TAGGGCGCATGCGCTCACCAGACAGAGAGACAGAAAGCGAGAAATCACCCCCCAGGGGGGATGGTCACGCCGCAATCCCTTCTCCTCCATTTTTCTCTCGGGATCTTGGGCACACACGCACACGCACCCGGTGTGAGTTTTAAGCCACCGGGTCCGGGATGCGAACTGCAGTCGACTACGTGGGAGTCCAGCGACATAGCCATTACGCTAACTGCTGGTTCCCAAGACTCAGCTACTCTTGATTATAGGGTGCATGTGCTTGTCAGAGAGACACAGAGAGAGACAAAGAGAGACAAGAGACAGAGAGTAAGATATCACCCTCCCCAGGCGGGATGGCCACTCCTCAATCCCCTCTCCTCATTCTCCCCTTGGGATCTTGGGCACCCACGCACACACGCCTGGCATGAGTTTTAAGTCACCGGGTCCAGGACTCCAACCACAGTCAACTATGTGGGAGTCCAACGATGTAACCATTACACCATCTGCTGGCCCCAGGAGTCTGCAAACTTTTTCTGTGAGACCCAGATGAAAATTATTTTAGCAGGGCCAGCAGGTGGCATGGCAGTTAAGATGTTGGAGTCTCCACATGGTCAACCATGGTTTGTGTCCTGGACACGCCAACTTGTTTTCTCACTTTCGCTTTCTCTGTCTCTCTGTTGAGCAAACGTGCCCTATAACAAATTAAGTAATAATAACAACTAAAATTAAATAAATTATTCTTTTATTTTATTTTATTTTTTTGGAGAGGTTTTTGCTATAGGGCGTGTGTGCTCGTCAGACAGACAGAGAGAGACAGAGAGACAGAAAGCGAGAAATCACCTCCTGGGGGGGATGGTCACATCGCAATCCCTTCTCCTCCATCTCCTCTCGGGATCTTGGGCATGCACGCACACGCGCCCGGTGTGAGTTTTAAGCCACCGGGTCCAGGACACGAACCACGGTCGACTACATGGGAGTCCAGTGACATAGCTATTACGCTAACTGCTGGTTCCCAATAAATTATTCTTTATAAAAAATTAATTCAGCAATTGTTTTAGGTGGCGTGGTGGTTAAGGGGCTGGACTCACACATGGCTGACTGGACCCAGTGGCTTGGAAAACTACACAGGGTACATGCACACACGTGCCCAAAATCCTGAGAGGAGAATGGAGGAGAAAGGATTGTAGCATGGCCAGCCCCCCACCCCCTGATCCCTGTGGCAATTTCCCACTTTCCCTCTCTGTCTCTCACCTGTGATCAATCACACGTGCTCTATGGGAAAAAAATCATTTTAGCTTTGTATGGTCTCTGTTCAAACTACCAGTTTTCTTATAATGCAGAAAGAGCCATAGACAGTGTATAAAGCAATGTGCATGACAGTTCCAAAAAGACTTCATTTCTGAGCATGGACACTTGGATTTCATAAAATTTTTATATGTCTAAGAGTAATTGCTTTGGGGGGGACTAGTAGGTGGCATAGTAGTTAAGGTGCTGGACTCCCACATGGCCGACCATGGTTCGAGTACTGAACTTCGTGGCTTGGAACTCATACTGAGCGCATGTACGTGCGTGCCCAAAGTCCTGAGAGGAGAATAGATGAGAAGACATTATGGCATAATTATTCTCCTGGAGGGTTATTTCTCACTTTTTCTCTCTCTGTCTCTCTGGCAAGCACATATGCCCCATAGCAAAAATCTTTCTCTGAAGGGGACCAGCAGGTGGCATGGTGGTGAAGGCTCTGGATGTTCCCTTATGGTTAACCACAGTTCAAGTCCTGGACCTGGCGGCTTGTTTTTTCAGTTTCCCTTTCCCTCTCTCTCTGGTCAAATTAAAATAAATAAATGAATAAATAAAATTAAATAAATAATTCTTTTTTTAAACAAATCTCTCTCTTAAATAAAAAAAGAATATTCTAGGGACCAGCAGTTGGTATAATGGCTATGTCGCTGGACTCCCATGTAGTCATCTGTGGCTCGAGTTCCAGACCCGGTGGCTTTCGTGCCCAAGATCCTGAGAAAAGAATGGAGGAGAAGGGATTGCGGCGTGGCCATCCCCCCTGGTGGGTGATTTCTCGCTTTCTGTCTCTCTGTCTTTCTGGTGAGCACACACGCGCCCTATAGCAAAAACCTCTTCAAAAACAGAAAAAAAGAATTTTTTTTTTGTTTTCCCCACCACCACTTAAAAATAAGATCAGGGGACAAGCAGATGGCATACTAGTTAAGTCATTGGACTCCACATGGTTGACAGCAATTTGAGTCTCGGACCAAGCGGCTTAAAACTCATGCTGGTCGGGACCAGCAGTTGGCATAATGGCTATGTCATTGGACTCCCATGTAGATAACTGCGGTTTGAGTCCTGGACCTGGCAGCTTAACATGCTGGGCGCACGGGCCCTATAGCAAAAACCTATCCAAAAAAAAAAAAAAATCTCGCTGGCCTTGTGTGCATGCATGCCCAAAGATCCCAAGAGACGGGACCAGCAGTTAGCGTAATGGCTATGTCACTGGACTCCCATGTAGTCGACCGCGGTTCGCATCCTGGACCCCGTGGCTTAAAACTCATGCCAGGCACGTGTGCGTGCGTGCCCAAGATCCCGAGAGGAGAATGGAGGAGAAGGGATTGCGGCGTGGCCATCCCCCCTGGGGGGTGATTTCTCGCTTTCTGTCTCTCTGTCTCTCTCTCTTTGTCTGGCGAGTGCACGTGCCCTATAGTGAAAAAAGAGAAACCTCTCCAAGAGACCAAAGATCCCAAGAGAGAATGGAAGAGAAGGGATTGCAGTGTGGCCATCCCCCCCGGGGGTAATTTCTCGCTTTTTGTCTCTCTATCTCTCTGGCAAGCTCATGTGCCTATAGGAAAAATGTCTCTCTAAAAAATAAATAGATAGGGACCAGCAGTTAGCATAATGGTTATGTCGCTGGATTCCCATGTAGTCAACCGTGGTTCAAGTCCCCCGACCCGGTGGCCATCCCCCCTGGGGGGTTATTTCTCGCTTTCTATCTCTCTGTGTCTCTTTGTCTTTCTGGCAAGCACACGTGCCCTAGCAAAAATCTCTCAAAAAAAAAAGCAAATGAGGAGGCCAGTAGGTGATATGGTGGCTAAGGCACTGGAACTCCCACATAGCTTACTGTGGTTCAAGTACTGAATCTGGCAGCTTGAATCTCACACTACTGTTCTTCTCATGCTGGTTGCATGTATACTTTCATACCAGAAGTTGTTTATGGGAAGGACTAGCTGTTGGTGTAATGGCCGTGCCACTGGACTCCCATGTAGTCAACCACGGTTCAAGTCCCAGACCCGGTGGCTTAAATTTATGCTGGGCACGTATGCGTGCGTGCCCGAGATCCTGAGAGGAGAATGGAGGAGAAGGGATTGTGGCATGGCCATCCCCCCTGGGGGGTGATTTCCCGCTTTCTGTCTCTGTCTCTCTCTGTCTTTCTGGCGAGCGCACGTGCCCTATAGCAAAAACCTCTCCAAAAAAAAAAAGAAGTTCTTTAT